TTTTTTTTTTTAGAGACAGGGTCTCACTATGTAGTAGTTCAGGCTAGACTTGAACTCACTATGTACCCCAGGCTGACCTTGATCTCACACCAATCCTCCTGCCTCAGCCTCCTGAGTGCTGGGATTACAGGTATCTGCCACTATGCCCAGCTACTGCTTATACTATTTTGCCTACTTCGTATATGTCTAAATTTTTATGCAATAAAAAGTTTAGTAACAAGGCCATCACAGTTTTGAATAAAGTAAGGGCATTTGTCCCACCAGGGATCAAAAGTTATAAGCCTCACGTCTCCACCAGCCAGCTTCATCAACCATACAGCGTGGCGAATCTTACTCAATCTACCCATGTCTCAGACATTTCTTTTTATTTGTTTTGTTTTTGAGACAAGGTCTCACTATGTGGTTCAGTCCTGCCTTCAACTCATTATGTAGCCCAGGATAACTTCGAACTCACAGCACGCACCACCACATCTGGCTTTTTTTTTTTTAGCACTGTTAGGTTCACAAGGAAACTGAATGAAAGTACAGAGATTTCCCACATACCCCATTCCCACAATCTTTCCTTCTCTAGACATACTTCACCACAGTGGTTATATCTTTTGCAATCAATAAATCTACAATGGCACATTATTATCACCTACTGTCCATAGTTTACACTAAGGTTCACTCTCTCCCCTTCCTCCCCACTACCCAGGATTGAACCCAGGGACTCTCTCCCACTATGCTACATTCCCAGTAGCCTTACCAAGATGCTGAGGTGGGACTCAAACTTACAGTACTCTACTATTGCCTCATCCTTCCAAGTGCTGGGATTCCAAGTGTGCATCACCACACCCAGCTAATGTTTACTCTTGGCATTGTATATTCCATGGGTTTCGCAAATGTTTAGTGACATGTATCTACCATTGCAGTATCATACAAATAGTTTTCTGCCCTAAAAGTCTTTGTGCTTTGCCTATTCATCCCTCCTCCTTCTCCCTATTCCTAGTAATCACTGATCATTTTATTGTCCCATTAATTTTGCATTTTCCAGAATTTCACATAGTTCAAATTATACAGTATGTGGCCTCTTCAATCTTCCCTTTCACTTTATGTATACATTTAAAATTTCTCTTTATTCATGGCTTATGGTTCATTGCTTTTGAGCACTGAATAATATTCCATTGTCTGATTATAGCAGTTCATCTATTCACTGACCAAAGGACATCTTAGTAGAAATTGTGACAATTATGAATAGCTGTGTGCAGATTTTTATGCAGACATAGATTTTGAAGTCATCTGGATAAATCCCAAGGATCATGAGGGCTAAATCTAGTGGCAAGAGTAAGTTTAGTTTGTAATAAACCACTAAACTATCTTCCAAAGTGGCTGCAGCCAGGCGTGGCATCATATGCCTGCGATCCCAGCATTTGAGAGACTGAGGCGGGACGATCTCTACCAGTTGAAAGGCAGCCTGAACTACATAGTGAGACCCTGTCTCCAAAAACAAACAAAAAAAGAGCTCCACCATTTTGCATTTTCATCAGGCACAAATGAGTTTCTGATGTCCCATGTTCTTATTATTTGGCGGTGTTGGCATTTAGTACCTTGGCCATTCTAATAAGTGTGTTGTGTTATCTCGTTTTAATTTGCAATTTTCTAAGGACATATAATACTGAGCCTATTTTCATATGTTTACTTGTTCTTTTTTTTTTTTTTGGTACTGGGGGTCAAACTCAGGATATTGAGCTTTAGAGGCATGACACCACTGGGCTACATTCCCTGCCCTGTCTTGTTTTCTTTAGAGAAGTTTTATGCTCACAAACACAAAAAATACTGAGCCTATTTTCATATGTTTACTTGTTCTTTTTTTTTTTTTTGGTACTGGGGGTCAAACTCAGGATATTGAGCTTTAGAGGCAGACTCAGTGTCACTGAGCTAAATCCCCCAGCCCTAAAAAAAAAAGTTTATGCAATTTCTTCTTTGATGAGATCTTTTGCCTGTTTTTTAACCAGGTTGCTCATTTTTCTATTGTTGTATTTTCAGACTTTTTTAAATTTTTGAATATTTCTTGTCTTTTTCAAATATTTTCTCCTAGTATATGGCTTGTCTTACTGTCTCAGCTTTCCACAGAACAGTTGTTTTTAAAATTTTAATGAAGTTCAATTTATCGTTTCTTTCATGGACTGCACCTTGCTTTTATATCTGAAAACTCATCGCCATAGTCAAGGTCAGGTAGGTTTTCTTCCACAGTATCTTCTAGGAAAATTGTAAGTTTCACTTAAGGATATGCTCCATAGCTGATCCTTAACATTCATTTTTGTGAAGGTATAAGGTCTCTATCTAAATTCACTCCTTTGCATGTGGATGTCCAGTTATTCCAGCACTGTTTGTGAAAAAGATTATCTTTCTCCAAACACAGCCTTTGCTCCTTAAAGATCCTATGTGGGTCTATTTCTGGGTCATCTTTTTATTGACCTATTTATCTATTTTTCACACTACCTTGATTACTGTGACTTTATTATATAAAGTCTGAAATTCAGATAATATCTGTTCTCAGACTTTGCTCTTCAATAATGAGTTGGCCAAGGCCAGGGATTTAGCTCAGTGGTTCCAC